GTTTCAATGTCCTGAGTAGATGATCCATTTATGTACTGTGAATTTGTTTTCATAATTTGTTTCCAAGATGACAGCACTAGCAGGTAATTTGCACGCATGCGTTCAAAGCAACATTTTACATTGGTTTAGGACTTTTTCTCTCAGTTTTTCGAGTTGAAGCATCTTTTTTGAAATTTCAACACACCTTTTGTGTTTTAGTGTATACATTTGCCAATAAAGACACACTTCAAATACACTATTTTGTCCAGTTCAGGGTGAAATCTTGCAAACAACGACCTTATGCTACTGGTTTCATCAAAGTTTCAGGAGGACAATTGGTATCAACAACAACTTATAGGACTGAGCCAATAATGTCTGGAAACCAGAGGAAGATGCACACTTAAATTTTAAATCTATCTCATTTGTATTTGACTGTACTGATTTTTTATAGCTGTTTCATACCATCAAATCCTGAATTAGATCCTTAGTGTGATCAGTTTGCTTGAAGAGAAAGGAGCTCTCACTGCAGTAAGAGATTTTTGTTTTTTATTTGAAAGATGTGCTTCATCAAAATCCCCAGCCCTGGGGCCCACCCAAGCCCAAGCCTGTTTGGAGCAGGAGCCCTGCATCATCTCTTACACTGAATTAAAGAAAACTAATTTTACCTGTACTGATCATTTTTAATCATTAAACCCTATTTTAAGATATTCTCCAAATGCAGATGTGTAGGGTCAAATCTTGAAGAATTCAGCCCATATTTAGCAACAATAACAACAAAGAATCAGAGATCTCTAGCAGCAGGAGATAATATTAAAAAAATTAACTGATCAGAGAACTGATCGGAGAAATAAAAATCAAGGCAACTTTTATCAGCTGAAAATTCATTTTAACTAGTAAAGGAAAAAAAGAATAAAATGTACAACACTGAATACTATAGCAGCTGGTCCCTCATTAAATTACCTATCTATTTCCAAATCCTCTTTACGTGCAGTATTTCATTTGCTAACCACAGAACAGGGGAAAATTCAAATGATTTTCAGACAGTTCAAGCAGCTATCCCTCTGATGCAGGGATTCTAAATTGCTATCCATAAAAAAGCAAGCTCGCTTCCTTCCTATTTTGAATTATTTAAATTAATCAGTCTACATACTTTCCAATTTGTATTAAAGGGAGAGAGATGGGATGTCTTCACATAACTAGTCAGGGGATATGGTGCTTTTAACAGTATATTTTGTCCATCAAAATGGGAGTAGGTCAGTAAGTCTGGCAATTGTTGTTGTATACACAGCACATAGGTGGTCTAGGCTCTAATCAGAGAGCTTCGGAATAACAAGTGGCAATCGTGGCACTCAGCAGACTGAATGGTAACTTACTGATCTGGACGCTGACCTGTTCTGGCACTTGGAAAAGGCAGCCGCTCTAGTGAAGCTTGGGGCACAGTCCACTGGACACCGAAAGCTGTGTCAAACACTAGACTCAAGGTTATTTCAATGTCTTTCTCATGCACCAAATTCACTCTGCAATGAAGTGGGGGGAGAACACTGTGTTCAACTGCAGGTCTTCCCCATGCCCAATCAATTAATAAAATAATGCAAGCTATACATAGAACTACAAGGTATGTTTTTAATGCACGTCTGGCCACGTGCTTTATTTGTGATTCATACAACTTTCTGCTCACCTTACCCCTCACTTTGCTCACTCTTGTCTCTACAAGAGTAACATATGGAAATAAAACCCAGTATGGATACTCCTCTTCATCGGTTTATGCAGCAAATAAAACACCTGTTTCACTGAAGTGCATGAGAACTTCAGATGATTTCTACAAAGCCAGAATTTTTGCCAGAGTTCTTTCAGAGAGAGATCTACAATTCTGCTATTTCTGCTTCTTCTAAGACTTTAATCACTTCTGTTTTAAAAAGTCTTTCTTTAATTTTGCTTGAAAAACCCATTTAAAGGATTATGATCTATTTATTTCTATATTAAAGAAAGAAATCTATCTAAAAACCCACTGCAAAAAAACTATCCTGCACCACTTACATTAATATTTTTCTCAGAGCTGGACAAGTTCTGATATTATCAATAATGCTGTTGCATAAGCACAGAAGTAAATAGCATTTACATTGATACCTAGTGCAATAACAGAACTATAATTGGGAGTAAAAACTTAGTGCTTGCAAATATTTTTTTTTTCTGTACTAATACTCCTATATATGACAAAATCCTGTAAGGATTTACAGGCAAAAGAAAGAACAAAAATGAACAAAGAAAAGTCCTTATACAAATTTAAAAACTAAAGAGATACTCATAGTAGGGTCAGTATTCAGCATGTAAGATTGTTTTCTATGGTTCAAGTGCAGAATCCAGGTATGGTTATGATCACCCAATCTTATCAACACACATGTGTATCACTTTACCGAGATATGTAAGCACAGCTTCATTCCCTACAGAAAGCAAGATGATTAGGTTTACCTACATCTGAGCATTCCAGCAGATCTCCCAAAGACAAGACTTCGCAAACTTGCACGTATTTATCCCACTACTCTGTGAGGCTACCTAGGCATGAAAAGTGCTGGACCTACGTAGTAATGTGCAGTAGTATCAGGGCCCAGAATGACAGCCTACAAGAAGCAGGGCCCAACACCATTTCTCTCAAAGCCAGCAACATTTTTGCTGAGATTAATGTTGCAAGATCATTGCAACCATGTTTAATTTAATATAAATGTTTTGAAAAGAAAAGGGAAAGGGGGAAAAAAAGATATGCTGGGAGTAAGGAAAAATACATAGAGGGACTGCAAAAGAAGAAAAATTATGCACCTGAAAGGAGTTTTCTTAACAGTGTCTATAAGCTAAAATATGGCAGAAGCCAAATTCAAAAAGAAAAGAATTTCAGTTTCTAATTGATACTAAACCCTGCTTCTGCCTAATTTTGGCAAAGCAAGAAGCTCTGGGGGCTGCATGCAGGCTGTCATGTGAGAGGGCCCTCAGAGGTGGCATCAAGGCCACTTGCCATGCGGCCCCTGGCCACACTACGTGTCTGCGGGAGGGTCCTGGCTTGGCTTGGGACAGTGCAGGGTGTTACCCTAGGGACACAAGAGAGCCAGGGCACACGTGCAGGTTAAGAGCTCACTCAAGGGCACACTTACCTGGTATGTGAATGGGCTTTAGCACCTGAGGCATAATCCAGACATACTCATCTACCTCAGTCCGGTTGCAGTGACATCGTATGACCGAGACTGGGCGGAAAAGAGTCCCGGGGTCCTTCTCAGAAGGCTCTGAACAAGGATAACACACATGCCAAATGGAGACTGCAAGGACACCTGAACTTCACAGCGTTTGTGAAAGAAGCTGGAGTGTATTGGGGACATCATCACTGACACCAGTGGGATTAGTGACGACAGCCAAGGCCAGGATCCCAGGAACCTAGACCTGATTTTGTCTTTTTAAAATCAAATCATTAGCAGGTGCTTCTGTTATGTCTTCAGATATCAATAAACTGTTTTCCATGATATGCAAATGAATTAAACCTTCATAACCACTGGGAACAAAGTCAAAAAACCCACATAAGGACTATTTAGTTTATGATTACAACAGATCAAAGTAGTTACTATTAATAAAATTAATGTCATCAAAATCTTTGTAACATAATTTTAAAGTATGTGTCTGTCTCCAGGAGTTCTATCTTTGAATATTCCTAGCAAGAGAATAAAAAGCATTATATCTTTTTATTTTCATATATATATTATATATAAAAATAAAAATGAGTGAGGAGATTGTAGTACTCCCTATGCATCCTGTTGTGTGCATCTACCTTCACAATTAGCCTATTACATGAACTACTTAACAATTTCATGTAGTTCAGTCACTCTGAACTCACAGTGCTGACCATCTATCTTTTGACGGCTACAAAATTGCAAACTTTTGTTTTCTTTGCGGGGGAGCTGGATGTTGTTAGAAACTAAATTTACTGTAATACGTGTTTTTGAGCTACACTTAAGGAGACCAAGGACTGCTTCAAGAATCCTTTTTTTAGGGCCATATGCCTTTCCTCATTTTTTTCCCAAGCTTCCATGTACCGATACCTCCTTAAAAAGAGGCTTAGAGTTTTGCTTCCTTTCAATTTGTGGCAAAATATGGGACTTTCACAAGACTAGTAGTCATCAAGTGTTCACACAGTCATTCTGGTTCACAGGAATGGTTCCTTACTGGAAAGTTGAGGCAATTCATACTGGTAAAACCTCGTAAAAATACATATGGAAGTACCAGGATGATCTGAGTCTCTACATGGGCTTGGGGGATGCTCCTCATAATCAGGACATTGGATTGTTATGATTCAGCTGAGAATCATTAAAAAAGGGGAAACATAATGGCAAATTGTTAGAAAAGGTTTCAGTAATGAGGACTCTACTATATTTCCACTACCTATAACCCCTATGGAAGATCATGCTAAATAGAAAACTCTTTTCCAAGGGCAGAAGAAGCCCTGACACTTTATTGCTAGATTCTATAGCAATTGGAGCTCACTTACAGTAACCTTATAGTACTCTATATAAACTGAGAAGCTTGTATCAAATTCAGGCTTCCATTTAAAATAGATATTGCAGATATTAGGCTTCAATTAAAGAAGAAAAATAACCTTCAGTGCTTCTTTTTTTTTTTAAAGGCAAAGTATAAAAAAAAATCACCAAACTAGGTGAGAAGTATTAAATTTCTCCAAAAAATTAAGATGAGCTTTCTTCTATTTCTTGAAACAGTACAGTTTGTGATTCACAGGGTAACTGGTATCAAACACAAGTTAATGAAAGCTCTTATAAGCAATTTTATTCCTATCCATAATGGCAGACATTTACAAAATCAGAAGAATTTATCATTTGAGTTCACCTTAAAAAATAACTTATAAAGATCTTGGGCAGTTCTGTTACGCCACTCTTTACAGTTATCTCAATCATGTTTGGGACCCACTTTCTTGACAAAACTGGGGAGATGGTAGGAAAAAAAATGTGGGTCTGATTGTATCTATTGTATCTGAGATCCTTTTGTTAAACTGTACACTGGGATGAATAATTTTCTTCTGTAGTAGCTCTCTGAAGAGGGCCAACTCACTGTGGTCTTCATGAGGAGACTTGATAACGGATCACACACTCATAGTCATGCTAGGGGAGTACTGAAAAAAGAGGAATCCACATTTTAACAACAGTTCTTTCCCAGCTTTCATTTCAACCAGCTCTGTAGCACAGCAGGTAGTTTAGACAATGCCAATATGCTATTTGAATTTTCTCCACAACTTGTACTAGAGCATATGCTAAGGCTGTAGTTTAATTTGTGGTATCATAACTTCTGTTATATATCTCTCATTAGGCAAAAATACAGCTATTGGTGATGAGATCAATTCACTTGAATTCAGCTTCAGTGCTGGGTACTGCAGTCTGGGTATTGCGTAAATGAGTATTTCACTGATGCTTTTCACACCTTTAACTTGTTGACTACTGGGAGGATTTAGCGGGGCAAACAGCTAATCTCAGGTTGACATCTGTAGTTACTTGAGTCACTTCTTAACCATTTTGGAGAGCTTTTTACTTCTTGATGGGAAAAAGGGAGTGAATATATATCTCTCTCGAATTAAAACAGGCTTAAAACAGGTTTTAAATTCTGTATGATAGAATTTAGGAGCAAGCTGAATCAAGCATCAGTGGTCATTCCTCTTTATGTGAACTGAAAAGCCAATTACCACATTATATTATTATTATTACACAAATTGAACTGTGGCTGTTAAACAAACTACAGTCGCCCTCATGTTAGCAATACTTCATTACCAATAAAAAATGGGACACTACAATGTACATTTATACCATTTCAATTCTTATTTTAATTGAAACTTGCAGGTTCAGAACTATTTAATTGGCCTGAACTCTTCTAAGTAGAGGAAAACGGTCAAACGCAAAAAGTATTGATTATATTTGTAAGTGTGATGAAAACTGATACAAGAAACAGAATGATACCAATTTGCCTTTTCAAAAGATAGATATGTAACAAGAAACTGCCAAAGCTAGAGTTTGGAGCTGGCCATGTCTAAACGTCCAAGCACATTCAGAAAGCCTTTTAGACTGATCTGCTCTTTCATATTTGCTACACAGAATTGACCACCTGGGTAAAATCCATTTTGCCCCATGTCATGTGTCTGATGGTTCCTCTGCTTTAGGGCTTATTCCCATCATGTGCTGAGCCCTCTCATACGGAGCCTGCAAAGCTAGCAAGAACGTGCTTATCCAATGAGGGAAACCAACTCAAATGCTTAAAATTAAGCACCTATTCAAATAATTTCCTTATCAAAGCCAAAGTTAATGGTTCTTGGGTAATCACTTTGGATAAGGAATAAGTGACATTTTAAATAGTGTTCCATAAAGACAATCCAGTGCAGTTAAATCAGTGTTTATTTGTGATTTTAAAATTATTACTAATCTATTTCTTTCCTCCTTTTGCCCTGGGGAAAACTCCTAGTGAATTGGATCAGGAATTTGCCTGAAAGGTATTTCATAATAATATCTACTTTAAGTAGAGTAAGAGTAAGAAAACATGAATCAGGAAGCAAAACAGTTGCCAAGAATTAAAATGTGACTTGTGCTGGAGGAGAACTGGTACCTGCATGTACACAGAAGGCATAGCAAAATTTTGAGAAAACTCAAGTGCCATACGAGATAGGCAAACAACGCATCCAAAACCCAAAATTCAGTAAGTGTCTGAGAAAACTACTGGTCTTTCAAATATAATGAATATCCATTCAGGGGTTTTGTTTTGGTAAACTGGCTTTCCTTGGTACTAATGAAGTATGCAGGATTGACAGGCAAGCACTACAATGACCGAGGATCCCACTTAACAGAGTCTAGTTGGAGGCCTGTGGCTAGTGGGGTCGCCAAGTGCAAGGTCCTGCACCTGGGGAGGAATAACCGCAGACACCAGTACAGGCTGGGGACTGACCTTGTGGAGAGCAGCTCTGCGGAGAAAGACCTGGGTGTCATGGTGGATGATAAGTTGACCATGAGGCAGCAGTGTGCCCTCGTGGCCAAGAAGGCCAATGGGATCCTGGGCTGCATTAAGAAGAGCATCTCTAGCAGGTCGAGGGAGGTGATCCTGCCCCTCTACTCAGCCCTGGTGAGGCCGCATCTGGAGTATTGTGTCCAGTTCTGGGCTCCACAGTACAAGAGGGATGTGGAGCTGCTGGAGAGAGTCCAGCGCAGGGCTACCAGGATGCTCAGGGGCCTGGAACATCTGCCCTATGGGGAGAGGCTGAGGGAGCTGGGCCTGTTCAGCCTAGGGAAGAGAAGGCTGAGAGGGGATCTAATCAGTGTCTATAAGTACCTCAAGGGAGGGAGTGCAGAGGACGGTGCTGGTCTCTTTTCAGTGGTGGCCACTGATCGGACTAGAGGAAATGGCCGGAAACTGAAACACCAAAAATTCCATAGGAACCTGAGGAAAAATTTCTTAACAGTGAGGGTGACAGAGCACTGGAACAGGCTGCCCAGAGAGGTTGTGGAGTCTCCTTCTCTGGAGATCTTCAAAACCCGCTTGGATGCAGTCCTGCGCCACGTGCTTTAGGTGTCCCTGCGTTTGCAGGGGGGTTGGACTAGATGATCTCTAGAGGTCCCTTCCAACCCTAAGCATTCTATGATTCTATGATTCTATGATTAACGGAGGTTTTGTGGTTACTGCTTTATTGCAGATTTCTAAATATCAATCCTTTTGCTTTGTACAAACCAATTTTCTCCAACACTCCAAACAATCTGAACACAAGCCCTTACACAAAAAGCTGACATGCGTAAAATGTTCCCTCTTCCTTTTCACTAGTTTAAGAAGCAAACCAAAAACAAAAATAAATCCGTTTTCCATGAAATTTGCCGTGAAATTTGACTGTGGTGTGATCTAAAAGAAACTGTTTATTCCTCATAATTTCTGAGTGAAAATTCACCACTGGCATAATTAATGGAGTTGCACTCACTTCTGAGAGCACTGAATTCCAGTAAGGATACAAGCATTGAAGTCACTCGGCACTTCTGAAAAATCAGACCACTTCTATTTAGGAACCCATATGCAGATTTAGAAACCCAACTTCCGGCATAGAAAATAGAAGTCTTGTTCTGCAATATATTTTATATCATGTTTTGCAGCCTCTATTTTAAAAAATGTCATTATTCCGATAACGAGCACTAGAGGGCATCTTTGCTTTTTTTTTCCCCGTCTCTAAAAGCACGCTGCATCTTCTCAACATGGGATCTCCTTGACCTCTCATTATACACTTCAGTGTGAATCTTCCTCCAAAAGACATTGTTGTCTGGCAAAATGCCTTGTTCAGAAGTCAAAAGTTGGGCCACTACTAGCTGAGACACTCAAATGTAAAAATGTGCCACCCGCGCATATCTAGGTTCCTCAGATATTGTCTGTTGTGTATTACTACGTGTGACATGATCACTACTGCTTGATAGCTTTCCTTGACAAAATGACCTCTCAATCTAGAAGAGTTTCTGCAGCAAATGCATACCTCTCTTACTTCGCAATTACAGCTCAACTTCTAACAGTATTTGGCACAATTCTTTAGTAAATCAATACCATAATATTAGGAGCTAGTAAAAAACATATAAGGTAAAGCACTGCATTAAAGGTACACTACCAAACTCTTTGTTTTGTTATTATTATTCTTTAAAATAAATAAGCAGAGATTAACGGTTTGCTAAGTAAAAAGGTGCTTAAAGAAATACTTACACTCTCACTCTGAAAAGGGTTTAGGAAGTTTCCACCCATCTCACCGTCATCCCTGGGAGTGCCGGGTTGATTACTCATGCTCATATTACTGGGAGAGTTCTGTTAAACAAGATTTAAAAATACACATTTCAGGTCTTTTCCCAGTTTTACCAGGTGTGTCAAAGTATTAGAGTGTGTTCATATAATACACTAGGATTTCTGAAGATGAAAGATAAACCTCTGCAGAGTTCTGTACGCTTCAATTACTAATTTTAACCTGTGTTTTCTCTCCTGAAATGACAACCATTACCTTCAATTTTTGCTTTCAGATAGCCAGCAACATCTTATACTGCATTCAGGAAAAATTACAAATGGCTTTTTAGGAATAACAGTTAGCTCTCTAATTACATCAAATCACCAGAGGCAAATTCAGTGAAGAACATGAGCACGTGTCTTGACATATGTGATTCCAGATTATGTACTTAAAGGTAGACGAGTGAACAGATCCAGGCCACACGGACATTTGCAAATCAAGATCTGCATTTGGAGTCTTTGTTCATGATGTCTGGTTTGTTGAAATAGCTTCTAATTCAAATTGTGAGTAGCTACATCACCAAAAGCAGTTATACACAGAATCTATAGATAAAAAAAGAGTTAACAGAATTTTAAGATAAAAAATGCCTGAATAGCAGCCAGCCACTGGACTAGGTTTGCTATTTGCTTGCACAGAGTGTAAGGCAGTAGGGTCTTAATTTACTTTTTGAGTGTTGAGGTATATTAATAACTAATAAATAATGACAATAAGAAGCCTCATGAATAAAAATTCTTTTCTGCTCCTGCACCACCACCTCTACAATGTTCAGAGAATATTTTCACTATTCAGGTAGATACAGAAAGAGCAAAATAAAGTAAGTGTCCCATGAAATACCCAGGGTCAACAGCTAATACATGATTATTGCACATAATGTAATTGGTTAGGTGTGTTTACAAAATTGATTTGTGGTATGCTGCCATGCCTGGAGCATGGATAATTCCCTCACTGCTAGATTCCTCGTAATATAGAGTGTGTGGTGCAAAAGGAATAGTCAGGGAAAAGGAGGAGTGAAATCATGAATGGTTGAGGTCGGAAGAGACCTCTAGAGATCATCTAGTCCTATCCCCTGAACTCCACCTAAAATGTTTACTATGTCTACTACACTTCTTCCCTTTAATTTTTTAAATCCAGAAAGTTTAAACACGATATTGCTGTTGAGATTTTATATATACAAATGCAGCATGCTTAAAGTTTGATGTGTCACAATAAACTTAACACAAACCCAGTATTGTCAATAGGCAAGCTAAGGAAATGCAACTCAAAGTAATACTTCTAATCACAGAGATCAAACGATAACAGCCGTAAGAACTGTAAGTCAATTTGTCTTCTCTTTCTTATGTTAATTCTCAATTAAAATGCTAAGACAGTATTTATGAAGCTTCTTAATATATTGTCCTTTGAAAATAAATGCACGTTGCCTTCATTTAGTGCAATTAAGACCGCAAGATGACAAACTTGAAGAATTTTGCATGGTTACTGAAAGGCTACTCTTAAATTTCAAACAGATTCCTCCAAAGGAAGGCCACCATTTTCACTGGACTTCGCAAATACGTTTCCGGGTTCAGCTTGATGTATTTATTTTCAAGTATACAGGAAATATAGAACTAATTACTTAACCCCATGCAAGTATACCTGATTTTAATTAGCACCTGAAACACAGTTTATCGTGAAGATATAGTCAAGGGATGCCTGCCTTAGCCCTAGATCACTGGTTTTTAAACCTTGATCAAGGGTTTTAAACCTTGATCCTCAGATCTCCATGAATCACTGGAGAAACCTGAGGGGTCCATCGAAGGCAATTAAAAGAATTAACTAGTTAACTATGATTAGACAATTAAGTTTGCTATACATCAAAGTTAGTATAGCAAATATTTAGGAATGCTCTACTTGGCAAATGCTGACAGCTACTGCTTTGATTCAACCACAGCTCTTGTCCTTGAAGCAGAAATAAAGTCAGGGAAGTCCTGTTGCCTGTGTGTTATGCAGGAACTTATTTCTACATTGTCTAATCACCTCAGTCCCTTCTTGCTTTATAATCTGCAAAACTCTAATAGACTTCAAAAACTGCTAGGGCTTTGTCAAGATTATTTTATATGATGGTCTCACCTTTTTTTTTTTTTCATTCCTTGATGATTTATCCCTATTTTATCTTGGTCTAGATAGTACTAAGCTTTGAAATTGTGCAATTGCTACAGTGTAGCACCCCAAAGGTTCAAATTCCCCAAATAAACACTTTTATAGCAACTCCCCCAGGCTGCTTTTATGGTTAGTATGGGGTCTAGCATTGTTAGCAGTAGCCGAGTTTTTTTAAGAGCAAGTATTTCTTTGGTGAGTGCACAACTTCATGGGCACTGCAAGAAACACTGTTTATTAGTCTTTATTTAATATGCATAATTTCAATTCATTTACTCCCCCATTTCAATCTAGTTTGTAAGAACTTCACGTTTTGCCATTGTGCCAATTAAATTAAAATTGCTGCAGGAAAATGTAGCTATGAATTCTGTGAACTGTACTGATTCTACCAAGACTCGATTAATTTTCTATATTTCATGGGGATAGATTATCAGCTGCTCTAACATGCATTTTATTCCAACAAGATCCTGTGCCTCCACTTGAGCCCTACATGCTCCAAACTGTGTTACTTTCAGAGAACAATTTGTGCCACATTAATTGGTGGTCTGGAAATCCAATTGTGGAAAAGCCAGTTGCACAACTAGCTGGTGATGTATAAAGGCAGGCGGAGTAAGTACAATCCTAGTAACCGTACAGAACTGGAAGGCAGCCACGTATTAATTTTGTATGCTTCAAACCCCAGAAACCTGCAGACATATATACTGCTGTGGTCCTATTCTCCAGGGAAGGCCATGTAAGGTTGTTCTGAGGCTATAAAGCACCTATCAAATTTTAAAAGAACTGTGTTGACCTATGATGAATTTCTTCTGATGTCAGCTTACGTCTTCTATGCTGGCAGGGGCTGCAAACTCATTGCAAACAGCACAGCATAATTCCACATGAAGACAAGGGCATTTTTATAAGCTACACCTCTCTCCCATCTCCCTGCCGAACTGGGGAAGACCATAAGGTTCTCCACCTCCTCTACCTTGGATATACAAGTATGTGTCCCTGTCTCAGTGGTAGCCTTGGATGTACCCACAGTGACATCCTTAGTGTGACCAGAGCATGTGCAGATGGGCCTTGGGCAGATTGGAAGTGGCAAAGTCTGTGCAGAGAGATGTTCAGCCACAGCACAGCGCTGCTTAGCCCCGGCTCACCCAAGAACCATCAGGAGGTAGTTCATTCATTCCAATCAAAATGTCATGTTTTTCTTTTGGAAATGGATCACAATTTTGTTACACTAATTTCAAATTAATGAGTTATGAAATTTTAACTGTAACAACTCCTTCAATGTCTATATTTATAGATCAAAAGTACTGAAATGCAGGAGATTGCTTTAGTGGTATTTTTGCTAGTTCCCATCAGTTACATCTGCAGATGCTGACTACAAAACACTGTGTTTTACAGCGACAGATTTCTACCACTTTATCAACACCGAATAAGCTCATTAGTTCCTTACTAGAATAAATTCCTAAATTAATAATGATCACAGATGTAGTAGGCTTTTATTTTTACAGAAGAAATGACACATTCAAGCATGATATGCTTTTGGAGATGTAACCCCCTGCAGGTTCAACTCACATTGCTATTTAATATACTCACATATACTATTTAATGGTTGTGGTATTAAAACAAGGCTGCTTTTGCAACTACTTTTAATCTTGCTTTTAGGGACTCAGTGATTAGGACAGTAGCATTGCTTTACAGAGGTGACAAATAATGCAATAATGCAGTGCATAAAAGTAACATCCTAATGACATTTTCCAAATTTATGTTTAACTAGAATTGATTATTAGACCGATACTTATTTGTCTTACCAGCATGGAAGAGCATAACATGACCAACCAGTTTGTGAACTGAGTATATATTAATCACATTAACTAACACATGCCATTATGCAATAGGAAATAAGTCTGCTTATACTCTCTATTGATTATAGATACTGTTTTAAAACTTTCAATTAATGTCTTCACATCCTCCAAAGAACCAACAATCAAAAATGTAGATAAATGTATATAATGCAGTAACAAAAATATTAACAAAGCCTAGCACATGTGTTTCATTCTAAAAATTCCAAATATTTTATTAGGTACTCACTTTGGAAATACTGTCCATGTCTCCTGAGCCTTAAATTAAAACAAATCATTATTTAATTAGTTTTGAACAGAAATTAATCTGTGATATTGCCACATTTTAAAGTAGACTTTAACAGCAACATTAATAGAAACGTTAAAACATAACCATGCTTGAACTTTCTTCCATCCCACTGTCTCTCTCAGAGAAAGTTCACACTCAGTTATTAAAGCATGGTAATTCTTCCCTGTGTACAGGCCTAGTACAAAAAGTGGAAATGAATGAAGGATACAGTTCTGATCTGTATCAGTTCCTTCAATAGCATCCTTCAGGCACAGCGCAAGAAAAGATATGCCCAACCTCTCTGTTCTCTTTAGCTATGGTAGGGTACAGCTATTGCAGCTCATTTGAAGGACATGCATCTAAGGGAAACATTGCTTCAGCTTGAGAAGAAAAGTAAAATCATGGATAACTAATAAAAATTACTGTCTCGAAAAAAATGACCACCATTTTTACTGAACTTTAGCTATCCAAAACTCTCTAGAAAACTGCTAGTGAAAGTAGTATCTTCAGGATCAGCAGAAGGTAGAAGGTAGATATTTTATCAGTGTCTTTGCCCCAGAAAGCTTAAGTCTACAAGTGAAATGGCTGATATGACATTACCTTTGGATGCAATACAAACACTAATGACAATAATTTCTTTCAGAAAAAGAGAAGATGATTCTAAGAAGCAATGGAGTAACACAAACTAAATAAAATTCAGTATTGTGTGTGCAACATTAGTAAAAATAATTTTTCTCAGATGTAGTAGCTCTCACTAGGCTGAAGCCAAGAATAAAGGAAATACACTTTATCAATAAAAGTATTTCTAGCAGCATCAGACAGTAGACAATTCTTGTCACCTATCTTTGGGGAAGATAAATTCAAACTGGAAGAGTGTCTGAGAAAAAACAATCAAGAAAATGGAGTTGTGGGAGGAGTGGAGTTATGTGGAGTTTCAGAAGACTGAAATAGCATGGCATACATAGCAAGGCAAATTAAGGCTGAGAAGGAATATGATCCCTCTCTCTAACCACTCCAAGTACTCCAGATACATAAAGTCTGGGAAGAGTCATTTTATCATGGACAAGTGGATAATTTTTGGTGGAAATAACAGAAAGATTTCTTTCCAACTGTAAAAACTGGGGATATCCAGTAGTAGGGTTGTGATCAAAGAATCCAGAAGTGTTCAAGATGGAGTCTGGAGTATGCTCGTGATTATGTGACAGAGCTACCTACTACAGCATGGAATGAAATGCAGGAAACCTCTTCCAGTCCTACACTCCTAAGAGAACTCAGATTCCATTCTAGAAATGAAATTGACCTTAGAAAGCAGTTGTAGCTAGTTTGACTAACCATAAAATTATTTTTACTACAGAAAATAACTGAGAAAATGTTAGATAGACATAGAATACTTCTGAAACTGTTTCAACTGTCATTTTTCTTTAGCTAAGAAATAATTTGCAGGCCATAAGAAGCAACAAAAGAAGAAAAAGAAGAAACAAAAGAAGAAAAAGCTTTTACCAAGTTTTTCATTTGCTTTAAAATAATGTGCATCATTATTAATTAAAGCAGCAGCTTGTTTCAGGAGGATTGTAATACAAAATAAAAAAAACTATAAGGTCACAAAATGGCTTTATGAAAGGCAATCTAGGAATTTCAGAGACCTCATTTCCCAGAAGGAAGCCTGTTCTATTGCTCAGAATGTCTGTTTAGTGAGGTTTGATGGTCTCCAGTTAAAGCTTTTCTTCTCTTCTTGTCATAGCTTTTTTCAATTTCTTGATCTTGATCTTGTCTTATAATCTCCAGTCTCTGGGCTATACCTGCGGTAATTTTTCATCCATCATGGCAATATGGAATGAAAAGGTGTTAACTGTAGAAGGCAATTTAAGCTGGTTTGTGCTGGGAAGATGACAGAGATGACAGAGCTTTTCTTCATGGACAGAACCAGGGAGAACTGTGATAGCTTGGCATATGCACGATCATCATATATGTAACTTGCTTGGGTTTTTCACCATAAAGGAAAATGATATTTAGCAGAGTGTGGCTGCACCTTGTGAATGCATAAGACCAGCTCACAGATGTAAAAGAGAATCTTGTGGTAGGAAATGGAGATAAAAGATGAAAGCGATTAAAAGTCTTTGCAGATTGAGTTTGTAGTTGCCTGCATGACCTACACTCCTTAGTGCAGGTAGAAGCAATGAACAGAGCATGGAAGCAAGCTGGATTCAAAGTTACTGGCCTGATGTTATGCTATAAGCACCAACAAATACAAAGATAAATTTATTTATCTATCTTGTCAGTAAGGAAGTGGAAGGCTTAAATACAATTTATTGAGTTTCAGCTTGTCGTTCAAATCCCTTTCAAGTATCATTCAACCTTCCAGCAAAACAGTAAGAAAAAATGTTCACTAGGCTAGTGAGAGGATAAAGCAGTGCATGTTTTGTAGACACGTGAAAGGCTTTTCTTCCTTTGCTAGGCGCCCTTCAAAAATCACCGTGTCAAAAGTTAAACTGTACAACCTTCTTCCTGCCCCCGCATACCCACATGAGAATGCATGTTCTTTCTTGGTGTGTTAAATGACCACCATGAAGCTGCTTATGGAGAGGGAATAATAAAATTAATATTTAAGAGACAGAAGGCTAATGTTGGAATAAGTGGCATCAGGCTGTTGGGATTACAGCCACTTAACACATAGATCAATATATGTAATAACTTGTACTTGGTAAGACCTGGCACCAGTATGTCACAAAGAGATCTTCTCAAATGTTTAAGAGAGGAAAAGAGGTAAGGAGAAAAGGGTCTTATGCCATCATTTCTACCTTATTGTGATGATATAGCTTTAGAATAGCTTTAGCCAACTGGTTTAAAATTATAATCTGTTATATAGATAACATCGAGTGATTTTCTTCCAGAGATGCACTATATATGCCAATTCATATGCTTAAAAAGTATCTTAATATTTAATGTTTGGTTATATATACAGCTTCTAAGATTTTTACATACAGTCTTACACATAATTCAGAGAACTAGTGACAGAAAATGACACTAGTCATTGAAAATTCACAATGTTCATAATATTTATTATCATTACCTAATGATCCATTCATATGATGTGAATCCATTCCACCCAATCCACTCATAGGTCCATCTGACCCTGGCCCCATTGGAAACTAAAAAAGGATCAGACATTAATAACTGGTGTTACTGTACACATTTATCGTAGATAATCTAATAAAAACAGAGTATTTCTCAGAAAAAATAGCAAAGGAAAAATGCACAGCTCCATCTCTGTATGTGAAAATTCAGTGAGAGTGAAGACTGCAAAGCTTGTTATTGTATTTGTTTACTTCTTCTAATGTTACCCTCATGATTTTTGGAGAATCTCATCTATATAGGCTGGCATATGACTTATAATGATTTATGCGATACTTTTAATCCTTTGTGTATCAATTTCTAATATGTAAATAACTGTATTCTCTTTGAAACTAAAGACAATTTTACTAGACACTTTTATGATTAAGTAATGCTTTTCAGATCCCACCTTGCTTATACTGACAGGAGTACTCTGCATTACCTTTGCAATATTAAGATTTTCTATCAGATTTTCAGCTATTAAATTTAAATTAAATGCATTAGCATTATAGTGCATTTGCTAAATTCACTGATTTTTCAATATCTAAATATCTTTTTTCTTAAAGTTCCACTGGACATTTTTTCAAAAGGCCCACAACATAGACAAAATATTGTAGTAATCAGATAAATACGACTAAACTAAACTGACAGAAAGAGATGAGAAAAGAAACAAGTTCTACAAATCTAGACTTTTTGTCAGTTCTAGAATTGCTAGTCGTAGACAGCAGAGGAGTTAAGGAGAGAAAACTTGCATGTTATCATTAATTTTCGTTAACATCCTACTCAGATAAACAAGTTAATTTCTTCTTAATTATCATATTATTAAGATACTGAATCTATCACTTTTCATGGAGGGGTAGGGCAACATAACACTGAGTCCCTTTCAGTGGTTTGCAGCTCCATCTCCAGGGGGTAGAGGCTTTTTATAATGACAGTTTAAATCCTGCAGAAATTCATGTTTGATGGCAGCTCCTAGAATGGTTGCACTGTATAGAAGTCTACTGCACTGAGCTGTGGCAAACTAAGTTATCTCCAAGATTCACATGCACACATTTTAAAGGTCTTTTCCTTGAAAACAGAAAATAAAGAAAGAAACTAAAAGGCCCCAATGATTACTTTGTATGCATTAGCATGACTGATTTGCAAATGTTAAAAGCACTAAAAATGACACTTATGTGTCACCCGTTACCATGGAAAACTTAGTATATTAATCATATGTAATGGAAATATAGTAGTTTGGATAAAACGAGGCTGTATAATTCAAAATAATATAACTAGATTTATATTTACATTAGGTCTGTTGGGTCCAGCTGGTACTGCATTCATTAAAGTGTACATGTTGTCTCCAGAGTTGGTTGAATCTGTAATAAGAGATTATTTTAAGTGCTAATATATACCTTTCAATAAAAAGACTCACCTAATACATTTCTTGTCATTTTGTTCATATTATTTCTGTGCCTGAATCACTGATACACAGTGGCAATATAATGGAAGATTTCATTCCCTTGTTATCTATTTCTACCACAAAACAGAACTATGAAAAGAAATAATTGCAATGGTCCCTAGGTGACTACTTCTAGACTCTAGTTTTATGCACGAGTGTTAAAAGGTTTTTAAATCACAAGTATCTGTAACTATTTAATTCCTTAAACCCTTTTTCTTGAAGTTCGAAATTACTTCACTCATTTTCAACATTTCCTATAAAACAGGAGTTTCTGTCTCATAAATATTCCCTGAATTTTGTTTTCCATCTGTAATAATCCATAAATAGCTCATTATATGGACTTCACATTTGCATAGCCAATGAAAGTCTTTTGTTCAAATCTGTGTCAGTCTCCTATATTTTGAATATATCTAAATATTCAGTGGAATATTACTGTGCAAAGGACACCTTTAGGTCACATAGCCTCATGGTACAGGGTGGTGCAATGTTTCAAGATTGACCCGAGTCCAAAAGCAACAAAATCATGTCGGTACTGGGTGATGTCCAACCTGGTAAGTTCTGCCAAGAGTTCTACTGCGCCTTACCAGACATTCATAGAGCCCTATTGCTTCCTGACCTGGGAGTAGCTCCCACAGAACTGAAGGAGAGCTGTGTCCTTTTCCTCCACTCAGTGTATGGGAACTTTTGAACTGGAGCACCTCCAACATTGAAAGGCAAGGTTGATCAAAGAAGATATATAGAGCACAATCCATTTAACTCTCATGGTTGAACTTAGAAGAAACCTATGGCTACTGCTAACACAGATAAAGTCTTAATATTCTTCATCAGCATTTGGAAGGAGGAAAAGGCAAAAAAAATGCAGACCAGTATACAAATTAGGCAAAAGACCTTTCACAAGGGAATAGACAAGAGATAGGGCATGTAACAACAAAGTTTACAGAGCAGAAAATGACGTCAGAAAAAGCTAAATAAATCCCTAAGGGTACCGTGTATCTTTAAAAACTAGGTAACTCTGAAAAAACAGTACCTCTACAATGGCTGCAAGAAGAGTAAAAGAATAGCTAAGCAGCTCAATACCTTTTTCCTCCAAAAGACCATTCCACCCCTTTGAACCACGAGTTTTGAGCTTAAGCACAAAACACATCTGAGCTGCAAATCTTTTTCCAAAACAAGAAGAGGGGAACTTTGAGCCAGAACTAGGGAAAGCCAGAAAGCCTTGATCAGACTGAAGTGTGCTGGAGGTGGGAATGCAGCCTGACCGCATGCAGGAGTGTATTTGTGCATTCACAGGACAGTCTAAATACTGGTCTTCGACTATTCCTTTATTTCTCTGACACAGTTTTCTAAGCTTTAACTGTGGTGAATAAATAATTCAATTATATATGGAGAAATACGAATCACTAAAATAGTCAAATACACTCCTTGAAGATGAGGGAACCCAAAAGTTTTTTTACCTAAAGTTAGAAAAAGTGAAATTAGCATGTAAAAAGTTATTTACAATGTTCACGGAGATTGAGAACAAGTGCTTTGACTACCAGATCCCTTTGAAAAAACAACCCTGGCTCTCCAGAGAGAAATGTATACCTGATTTATTGGATTTTGTAAAAAATACACATGGTTCGATTGGGCCATGGGAACATTCAGCACTGGATTTTTTCCTCAGAGGTGAATGAGTACCTTCTCAAAATTCCCAGGTGGCCAATGTGTAAGTGCTTTTATATTTTGGAAAAGAGGAGCCTTAAAACACCATAGAGTTTCTTCAATTGAAAATGGAAACAATTCCCCACAGACAACTTACCCATGTCATAACCATAATGCTGATTCTTTTTAAAAGTGCAGGCTTTCTATTGGTTTGTTTCTATGCTAAGGGGATTTTAGTTTTTAACTACCACCTCACATTAATTATCTTCTTCACTCATTATATGAATAAGGAAGTCCTACTCTTTATCTCATATTGCCTTTTTTAAAGCTCTGGAATTGTATGTAATGAAGATTTTATAGTGGTACAAGAAGTTTCCATAAAAAGTTAGAAAACTTCCCCATACCCTCTTGTGCTGTAAAGAACAGCAAGAATATGTAGGACTGAGGACTTAAGAGTATCAGGTGAAATGAGGTGAAATGGCCCTTTTTAGCTTGCAAAAGTGGTTACAGAGACAGATGTTTGCCAAACAGAGCCCAGATAGCTAATGAATATTGGGTTAGCAAAGATGTAACTGTTTTCTTTCCAGCACATTTCTAATGCTATCCAAGGGAGAAGAATAGGAATGATGGTCCACCTTCTGGATGGCCAAGTTCTCCCTGCGGCCAGAATTTCAAGATACAAATCATGCAGCTGGGAGAAAGAATGCAGCAGTGAAGTGCTAGGAGCAGGTCACAAACAGGACATGGCAGTTGTTCCTCTGGGGCTTTACTCCTCCAATGCTGGACAGAGCACAGTGACTATCCAGCACTCCCCTGCTGTCAGCCAGATGAGGTAGCCAGAGAATGCAATGATGCTTGTGGTTCATATGGAGCTCAAGAGCCATACATCGATCAGGTCTACCCACAGGATACTACAGGGAAATCTACACAGGATTCGAAAATTACATGATTTCCAAACTGTGATAGAATTGCCCTAAAGGATATGAGCAAAAACAAATACATATTTGGTCTTCCTTTCTTTTTCCTCATATTGCTAAAATAATGCAAGGGAAGATGGGCTCAGGAGCCAGCGATATGAATTGCATTGAACTGTAGAGATACGGTACAATGCTTTGTACCTCTGCAACATAGCAGGGAGGGAATTTTTTTGAAAGAGCATTAAGAAAAACTGATACAGAAAGTACAAAACTAATACCTTTTCATTAGTCATTCCTTGCTGAAAAAGGTACATAAATTGGATCTATCCATTTGTCTGCATTAATAGCATAGAAAAATCTGAAAAAAAAGGAATTTGTACTTCCTAAAACTCTTAACAATTTATTTTTTTCTGAGTATATTTCAATACCTGCTGGACTAGGCATGATGGGTGTTCCTGGTGGCCCTCCACCTCCTGGAGGACCCTAGAGTTGATAGAAAATTCCAGTTAGCATGAAAAGGAAAAACAACAACAAGAAAACAACAAAAACCAAAACAAACAAACAAACAAGTAAACACAGTACAAAGAAAAAAGAAGAATCATCAAAGTCATTAGTTATTCTACTAAAATCACACAAATTTCATGATAAGCTGACAAAACAACCCCTTAAAAGATCGAGACAACGTTGGTCTGGCACGGTGTTCTGGTATATAAAGAGCTGTGGATCCAAGAAGATCCATTAGTCAAGAAAGTTGAATCATGCCATGAGTCAGACAGAAAGGACACTTGATAAGGTCATAAGACAATTGTATTTAATTCCTTCAACCATTTTTGTTACTGCTGATTTTCCTCTGTCCACACATTGATGGCAGCAGAACAGTGCTCGCAAAGCATAAAATAAGATATCTTTTGGGTACAGAAGAGACTAGCTATCTAACGAAAGATTTGTCTTTTAGGCAGACTTGGTATCTATGCCCTAACAATCTTAATTCAGTCTGTATAATACTCTACAATTCTTTGATCCATATCCATAGATATAATTCATTCACAAATTAATGATAAAGGAATAAAAAAGTGTCAGGATGATGCCAGCTGCCAAATTGGGATATATTCATATCACTTGCCAACACTACTAAATCATAGAAAATGGCAACAACAACAAATAACCAAACAAAAAAAACATGAAACATCTATTTTCTTAGTTTCAGGTATTTCTGTGTTACAAATCTATTTATGTACAAAGACTGTTGTAGTTGTTTAGCAAGCTTTTTAAGATTCTTGAAGAATGTCTCGAATAATGTTATTCTAAACATGCTTATAGTTAAATATGAACTGAATCATTGAATCATAACTTCTTGCTTCCTCCATTTGTAGATGCATTAATACTTTAAGTAACAGGAAATACTATCCTCATATAGCTTGATAAAACTATTCTAATGTCAATAAATAAATTGACCCCCCCATTTTTCATAATAGAAATTATGCAGTTTACTTACAAAAGATTTTCATTGCTATATATCTTTCATCTTCGTTTTATTTAAAAATAAGACTTAGTATTTCAAATAGATTTTTTTTCAATAGCACTGAATATAAAGGTTTGATTATTCCTGTATGTTTAAAAGAGATTTGCTGAGATTTTTCCATGATACATATTCACTGAAATATTCTGGAAGGAGGCAGAGTACTTATACAATTAAAACTACAGACTCTGTTTCTTAATGGCCTACTAAAAATAACATTACTTACAAAACATTTAGCAGTAATACACTAGTGAACAGTATTTTCAGACAATTAAAATCAGCATTGCAGCAGCTTTCTGACTGATAGCACTCCTCCCCAGGTTCATGCAAGTAAAATATATAGCACTTCAGGGGGAAGCACCACCGTCTCCCAGTCAGTCATTAACTATGAGTTAATTGCAGATAAAAAAATCTTTTACCCAGTAGCAACCAATCAACATCTATAAACCTCTGTGCCCTTACACACAGCACCACCTTTCAGTTCTTCATCTTGTGCTTCCCCCATATTGTGAGCTAAGCAAGATCACAGATTCTCCCTTTTCAAATCTCTCAGAAATTAGTTATAATAATAAACATGTTAAGACGGGTTTTGCCAAAAGCATTTGAAAGGCTGATTCAGCCCTCAGCAATGGAAAATTTCTCTATTGTAGAGTTACAGATTCTAAATTCAAAAGGGACCTTTAGATCACATATGGCCTTTTGGGTATCACAGGCTGCAACATTTTAACCACGTACTTGGCCACTCAGGTTACCAGCTTGTTCGCTAGGTTTATATACATTTTACAGAAGGATATCAAGAGATGTCAAAACATTAACTGCTGATTTATCGCAAGGACTAATTATCCACATTATTAATATTTGCATCTAATTTTCAATTTTATATTAAGTTTACTAAGCCTCTTGGTATCAAGTTTATTTTCCCTGAGAATGTATTTATATGCAACTAAATAACTTCTCAAAAACCTGTTTGATAAACTGATCAGATTAAACCTTCGAAGCACCTAGCTCAGCAAATCACAAATCCATTGACTAAAAGCTCATCCTAGAGCTGTACCTTGCATGGCCAGCCCTCAGGCCCTTGCACTTGTTCCCGGTTTTGGAAGTCACTGGTCCTCAGTTTTGCTTACTTAACTGTTTGCAAGGCATGTTTGCACGTCTTCCATTTCCCCCAAAAGTGCTCTGCTTTAAGCCTGTTCATGTCCCTGCGAGAGGGCTCAAAAGCCGTGTGCTGTGCAAGCACCTCTGTTGGCTAAAGCAGTTTTCAATCCTGGCCCACCAGGGCTTCCCCAACACGATGCTCTGCTAAAGGGCCTCAGCTCTGCTTGGAGCGGCCTCTGAAAATGTCCCCTAACCTGGAGCGGTTGAAAGAAATCACTTCAGCAAGGAGCCAGTTCTGCAACTGCTTATGTCAGCGCCAGCTTTTTGGAATGACAAAGATCACTCGTCCAGACAAAGCCACCAGATCTGCTGCAGTGGAAAACTTCATCAGAAGAGGGAGGATAAGAAATTAGACAGAAATGTGCCCCTCTCGCCTCCTGTGGAGCTGGCCCTTACAAAGCACTGATGTTCAGAAGTTTGAGCATTTTCTTTCGAATTCAAATATTTTGTGTGTCTGTTTTGCATAGTTGGATATATGTTAGCTGTCTTGCAAAGTTTCAGTCAGATGCAGCTTTCCAGTATCAGGCTCATCATTGTCCCTGGAAAAGGTAAAATTACCTGTTTTCTCATACTCCACCTCCTGTAACTCTACATTCAAGTATGGAGATGCCCTTTTTGTTATATCCATTTATTCTTGTTGCCTTTTGGCTTGATGTGAATAAAACAAAGAGAATCCTGCACTACAACACACTTTCCTTAGGTTTGCTTCTTTAAAATAAATTTCTATGGTGTCTTTTTCTCAGGCCCTAATACATCTCAAAAAAAAAAAAAGTCAAAAAGAAAAATCTTCAAAATATGCAGGAATAACTGATCACTAATATCTGTGGCAAAGCCAACAAAGAACATTCTTCTCTCAGTAGGAAATCCTTTTCAAAGTTCTTATAAAACTGGCTTGAAGATCAGCAGATTTAGACTGTTTCCACTAAAGATGTAGCAAATAATTTCTAGAAGTATGGAAATTTATGGGAAGTCCAACCCTTTTAGCAGCTATCATTCTGAATAATAGACCAAAAAAAAAGCTATTTAAATGAGAAAATACATCCTTGTAAACTTTATCTCAACTCAGCACTAGCTAGTACAGGATCACCTTTTTAATGTAGACTAAAAGAAAACTGCAAGTAGCCCGAGTACCGCTGGTATACTGCCCTCCTCATGAAAGGCCTGCTACTTCCACATTCTGGTCTAGCTTTAGATTCTAGCTTCATCTTTCTTATGCTGATTTAAACCTTACAGTGCAGTTGTCTAATCTTCAGGTGATAAAACATGAAATAGCAACAGAAGAAACTACTACAACCTGACCCAGGAACAAGAGTTTGGAATCCAACAACTAGTAAATAAAAATGTCAAATGTTTTTAGAGAGGAAGATTAAATTGTCTACCATTACATCTTGGCTTCAGTACTAAACATGTGATGCAAACATGAAATGACATTCCTCAGAAAGAGCACATCTGAAATACAAATAACTTACTTAAGTACAAGAATAACAACCACCAAAATGCTGAAAGAAGAAAAAAATCTTAATCTCCTGGGATACACACAAAAAAACTCCACCGATATGTACTCCAGCAGAAAGCATTTTGTTGATGGGTAAAATGTGTTTCTGAGATATCAGAGAGACTATTACATACTGTGCTCTTCTGAATGAGAAATCAGTGCTGAGTACTATTCTGAAGTTTAAACTATTTCATTCTACTGTAGATACCGAGAAAATACAATTATATCAACTAATCTGTAATATACTAAGACAATGACTGTGAAATAAAGATCATGGGGAAAAAAAGAGTTTTCATGTCTCCAGATGGTAATTGTTTGAAAAAGGAACAAAAATATCTCTTAAAATGTAAAGTATGGGGACTCTTTCATGGGGACTCCCTTGGTGAGAGAAAATCTTCTAAAAGTAGAAGATAGAGAAAATCTACTTTTCCCGAAGAAGTTCATATATGCATATGATATTACATCACCAAAAAGCTGGCGTCTTTTGTCCTTTATTATTTGATACAAGTTATTGCATTGGTTAAAGAAAAACATGGTGAAGTGAAATACTGCACTTAGAGCACCTTTGACCAGGCTGATAATGATTCTAGTAATGAACATCAACATATGCACCATCAGTGATGGACAAAACAAATAACTGCAGATCAGACGTACAGTTTGAACCCATACACGAGGGTTCTTAACATCTGGACAATGATTTCTTTGCCTAAGTAAAACGTAACATCCATTCTAAAGAGCAAACACATACAAGTATACTTACTACATAGTTCCCAGGAGATGCTGAAGAATAAGGTATCTGTAATATTAACAGAAATAAAAGAGTAATTTTTTCAGCACTGAGACGGAATTCATATCTACATTTGTTGGCAGAAGGATTATTAAGGTAATATGCTTTATAAAGTGTTAACTTTTTAGTGCATGCTTGCATTTTACTCACTGGGCTTCAAAGGCATCTGGAACAGGAACTAAATTTGTTTGTTCCTGTATGTACTGAACCTTTATTAAAATCTAAAATCACTCCGTTCTTTCAACAAGAAGATACTCGTGTTATCTCTTTGCACTATTTTGATCTTTTTACAAAAGGACAGTATCCTAATTTCATTTCAAATTCAATTGTGGCATTTGTTACAGAGGATATTTGGAGAAATCCATTTGCCTGTGAATAATCCAGTTTTGTTCTTTATGCAGTAGCCTTTGTGAAGATTTTCTCTGGAGAAGAAGGGAGCAATACTATTATAGTAGGACAGGGAAAGAATTTAGAAACTGAATCAATAGACTGCAAAACTATTTTGTTGAAAATCATCTTACAAGATTGTAGACAATCTATCAGACAACTAATTTTTACAAAAGTATCTAGTACTGGATTTCTTAATTGACTTCATAGAATGAAAACATTCCAAGTATCAGTTAAAAATATGCTAGTATCTATCCATTTTAGCAGATCAGAAAAGAAAGCAGAGAAATGAATAAAAAGGAAGATTTTCAGCATTTTTTTCCTAACTGGACTTCAGTAGACATAAAAAATCAAAACCGAGAACAAAAAGAGCCCGTATCCTCTGGCAAGCTAGACCCATCTTATCCAACCGTAAATGCCAGAAAGGGACACATTTTAATACTAATGATCTATGTCCATTGAAGTAAAATGAAAACTTTACCTATGGGCTTTCTAAAGAAAAAGTGGCCAATGCTGTCCATGTGATACGCTTTACAGACTGCTTCTTTCTTTAAGCTGCTATTAAACAACCTCATTTTGTTGTTTTGGAACACAGTGAAGAGAGTGCACTTTTTTTTACTAAAAGCACATCTAACTGTCTGATGCCTGATAAGAATTTGCTTTATGATTCAATGCTTCCTAGTTAACAAGAACAAATGTGATTTGGTCTATGCAAAATATGTGAGCACACATTAGGGAGTATCTTTGCAAGCTGTGATTTCTGTAAAGTTGACAGGTCAGATACCATTGACCTATCTTTTTGCCTTATACCAAGGGAAGCAACAACATATCTTAACTACAATCCAGGATGAGTTTTTTGTTAAGGAAGTTTGGAGATGTTGTAGAGATGCAGAAGAATGATAGAGCTGAGTATGTATGAAAACAACAGTCAATTAATTTTCTGCTAAAATGTGGTCCTTACTGCACCTATGCTATTTGTTGAACAACTGGATTTTTTTTTTTTTTGGTGTTTTGGTGCACAGATGAAAAATAACGCCTTGAATAAAAGACAGTATCTAATACATATAAATATTTACTTACAGAATTGGCATTGGTTGGGTTTGGCCAAGGTCTACCCCCGCCTGGGCCCCTGTAACAGAAGATGACAGTTTAATTAAAAAACAAAACAAAACAGGACAGAGAACTCCCTTGCCAATTCTGACAAAATCTGAGGAAGCAAATGCTTCAAAGTAATCCATTACCAAAGTAAGTTAGGAGACAACTTTCTTCTTTTTTTTTTAATTGCAATAAAATCCGATCATAAAGTGTAACTACACAAGTCATAATATTATGATAAAATTATCGTTGTTGCACTAGCTTCTTCATTTAATAGTTCATAAGATAATTAAAGATATCACATTTATTTTTACAACCCTGCCATTTATATTTAAGACATCTCAGATCCTAAATCATTCTGTGGACTTCTGTATTTTCAGGACACTACCTGCTAGAAGTGTATCAGATCAAGCAAAAGGTCTGCAGAAGCCTTTTAGGGCCTTTGTTGCGTTTGTCTCAGAGTATGTGAAGGTTTAGGAAGCATCAGACCTTCTCTTATCATGTTCTCTGTAGAATGACTTGAAAGCCACTGCAAATTTGTCTCCTATTATGTGTTTTCCTCTTGTCCAGGGAGAACTTAATTCCATGTTATACAAATGTGACATTTCACTGTGGCACAGGAGGTTTAAACAGCGTGAAAAAACAAGTTCCAAAATTTTTCTTATGAGGAGTGTTTTCCTTTGCACTTTGCACTTATTAAAATATTTGGAGGAAATATGGCATGTTTTGCAAAAGCCTGCTTAAAGCACGGATCAAAGCAGAAAGATATTAAATGCAATTTCAGTCAGAGAAACTGTACTCTTTCTTACATAATTAAAATACCTTCCTGAAGGATTGCAAAAAATGTTTATTGATTATAGATCTAGTACACCTGTGGCAGAAAAAGGTTTCATTAATAAAGGTAATGCTAGTTCCTTGTATATGTTTTGATTTAAACAATTTTTAGAAAAAAACATGTTGCTACAATCTGTACCTAAAGAGCATAGCAATTGTATATAAGTTTACATATTTGATACACTAAAAATTCAAAACATGCCTTTTTATACACAGTTTCTGACATTGAGATAGGCATCTAAGAATAGTTTGCTGCTTGGCTAGAGCTACGTCATCTCCACAGAAATCACAGCCCCGTGTTAGGGACCGCACACCCAGCAAAATGGAGCTTTCAAACCTGCCCAGCCTCCTTCGGTTCCACCTGGCCCAAAAGGGATCTTTTTGATTAAGTAGCAGTGTCCTAGCAGCAGGGACAGGAGAAGAAGAGGCAAAAGAAAAGCTTTGATAAAGCTAACTCAGACTAAACATCAGACAGATCCTAAAAGCAGAGGGAGCAAATGGAAGAGGAAAAACTCCTTTCCCAACAGAGTGCTTCTTTTCTCACAACTCTGGCTGTTATCTCAGTTTTCTCAGTTTTAACTGAGTTCAGTAGAATAGTTTGGTGGCTGGGCTTCTTCTTTTAACAGTCTTGAGGCAACTAAACCATATGGAAGGTAAAAATCTCAGTGTTCATAGTCATAACATATGAATAACTATAATTAATCCTGGTAGCATTAGGCATTCCTAGCTATTTATAAATAGGATGAAATCACTTTTTGAAGGCCTTGACAATGGAAAAGCAGAGCAGATGACAAAACTTTTGCTCTTAAAATGGGATTTTTTGCCTTACTGGCTTTAGAAAAGCTACATTACCCACCACTGCATCCCCAGCATGGCAGAGTGATTTAAATACTGGGAGAAAAGCACACTTTATTAAAGACTCCAGGCAGCTTCCTATACAGAGTTTTGAGAAACTAAAGACTACTACGTGGATATGTTGCCTTAGGGTTTAATATTGAATCTTTCTTATCTTTTATTACATTATTGATAAAACTACAACGAATTTGGCTAAAACAATCAACTGAAAGAAATAAAGTGAAAATTCAATGAAGCATTTCATTTATGCTGCTAAATTATTTCTGGAGGGTTGGAAAGAGAGAAATGTGAGAAAGAGTCTTTTTGCTAAAACTCTTGCTCTGTTGGAAGAGGCAAACGTTCTCGAGTGAACCCCAAACCTGTTCCTTGGCAGCTTAAATAGTTCTTCCATGAAAGCCAAAAACCTATCATTTCTATAGCTCTGCATGGGATACACACTTGTTGGAAGGTATCTCCATGAAGGATTTGAACAGTGGATGGCAGCTGCCTTATTCAGCTGTAGGAGAGGAGGGAGATAAAGCAGGAAAAGACACTCAGACTCAAGCAAAAAAAGGCCAAGCACAAGTAATTTTTGCAGAGATGATGGTCAGGACAAAAACTCAGCAATTGCTCTGCTGCTAGAAATTTAAAGGTGAGACCATTGGTGTGTGTGAGTGTTTTTTTTTTTTTTTTTCCTGTCCTGTACAATATTTGACCTGTCACCTCTTCTTTCTGCTGTGAAATCAAGAAGATACATAAAAATACTGGAAGTTTCTTTTCAACCCCAAACTCTGCAGCTGTCTGTGTGATATTCAGTAATACAAACCTACCTGGTAAAAAGCATCAAACCAGATAATGCTGTGTCTGTAAGGCAGCTTACTGGAGATAGAAAGCTAACTCAGATTCCCAAGCTTAGCCACTGCAACATCGAAAAGCAGACAGGGTCCATGAGGAGACTGCAACCCAAACTCCTGTCGGCTTCATGGTGCTTCTGCTTAAGCATGCAAGCCGTGGCTAGAGCTGAACTGGCGTAAAGTCTGTTTTTTCCTGCAGGCTGCACTGCAGACTCTCCTAAGAGGAAGCTCACCCCTCAGCAAAAAAGCTGTTGGAATTTGCAAATTTACTGGAAGTCATAGGCAGCTCTAAGTATAGACTTAGAAAACTCTGCAGCAGATTCTGCTTGAAAGCCATATGGTTTATAAAGCTGAATGTTGTTGGGTTTTAAAGCATACACATACAAAAAAAGCCATCCTCATTTTTTTTCCCAAAGCAATACAAGCAATATTTTTTCCCTTTTATTAAAAGTTTATTTTGGACACATCGACAGAGTCATAAAACATTACTATGAACGCACTAATTCCAAGTAGAGTAATTTGCAGACAATCCACTCCTACAACTAACTACAGCTGCATTCCACCCTTTAAGTAAGTCCTACACTGTTAATCCCAGTATTTGGAAAAAATAAAATAATGTATTTCACTTTCCTAACAGGCAAAAATATTCTACCAGGAAATTAGACATCCAGAAACAAGTTTGTGAATGGAAGTCAAAATACAGTTACTTTTCTTTTTTTCTTTCTTTCTAGGCATGACTGAGATATTCTTAGTGCTTTACACAGCAGGTCACACAGGCCATTAAAAAGTGCCAGTGAAATTTAACACAGCTCCCTGAAATTTACTGTTTTGTCCCCAAAGAGGACATTTTCCATGAGGAAATAACATCTTACTAACAACTGCTACACCAAAGATCAGCATAAAATCTTAGCGCTAAAATAAAGTTATTTTTGAAAAGACACAGGATATATATCAACGCTTTTAAACAATGATTGGATACATATTAGCTAGGGTGGAACAAGCAGTTATTTACAAATGACACATTTAAGGAGCATGTGCTCTGAGACTGGAAAAACTGCCTATGAGCTTTCCATCTGGTTGTAGCCATTTTTGACAATAAAGCACATTTTTTCATCCAGAAAAATGTAAAATGATATTTGGCAGATATTTTCCTCTTAAACAAAACTGCTTCCTTGTGAGCCTTCCCAGGAGAAACAGCAGAATTTCAAAATGGCAACTGGTTTTGTAGAGCACACATATTTTTATTTTACAGAAGTTCAAAAATAATTGGGTACAACACAGGAAAATGTAAGAAGAAAAAAGTCTATGTGAAGACATATGTAAATTAATATGTACGATACATAATATATGCAAAATGGAAGTTCGTCGTTTTCCATAGGAATGGAAGTACAGTAAATGACTTACATTGGTATTTCTTAGTATTGTGTTACATAAATCACATGGGATAACATAATGAATTCTAATACATTCGGACCCATTTCTTCCTACTGCCCATGTGCTTTTCTGAGGTGCACCCTGACTCATTCTGAATGTTGGAACTGCCCAGACACCAAGTTTTGAACAGGATTTCACAGTGGGAGAACTTACTACTATGAGATTTCATGCAAAATTGACAGCACTAACTTAAAGCAAGAAGCCAAGCTGATGTTTAAAAAGAAAAAGGCTTGTGCTGCCAAAGCACCATTAAACCTTTATTCTTCTTTTGATGAGTATATGCTACTTTATATATCAGAGGAAAAAAGAAATCAGTTTGACAGTAGAAAAAAATATGTTCTGAAAACATATGTGACAGGGCACATAACACAGCTCCGTACATGCTATGGCACAGTGCTCTTGTACTAGTTAAGCATTCACAGTGCATTATATGGCATGGGACAGTGTGAAGCCTTCTTCAGAACCAGGAAACAGCTTTGTGTCCCTGCTTGTAGCTGAACTGGAGTAAAGATGAGTTTGTAAGAAAGGTAAAGGAGCGCAGCATATGCTGGACAGAGGTGCAGATAGCTCTGGTCAACTACCTGGCAATTACTATTTTACATCATGTGGCTCTCTAGAAGAAGTCATACCCTGTATCAAAGCTCACCGATTCCTCAAGCAAGAGATTGCAGTTCAGGACACCCACTTCAGCAAAACACAGAAATTCAAAGGAAAACACTCTTCCCACATCACTGAAGTAAAAAAACACCATCTATATACGTTTACTAAGCACAGGTGTAATGTGCTTATCTAAGGTTGCAGTGTGGAAATATTACTATTCCAACCCATAAGCACATTCCTCTCTGCTTTCTGGAAGATGAACAGCTTTTTTTTTTTTTACTAAAATATATATATCCAAAAAGCTGTTTTCTTAGCTTTCATATGTAAATTCTCACTTATGTGGATAAATGTCCTCAAAATATCTTACCTATCCTGAATCCAGAACACTGTGTTTTAGAATGTTATGTTTTCTCATCATTATATCTCCTTCTAAGGAAATCTACGTGCTGCTTATATTATACTTGCACTGAATTTCAAATATCTGAATATGTTCTCTACATCAATTTTATTTAAAAGAAGAAATGCCTGCTCTTGGGAAGATTTCTAGAATTGTCTTGAGTCCAATATATGATGTCTATGATAGAGTAACACCCAACTTTAGATTTTATTATATTTGCTTCAAGAATTCAAGGTATGTCTGGAAATCAGAAGAAATTAAGGATATGCTGGATTAGATTTTTTTTTCTGAAAGTTTTATCTAACTCAATACCTCTTTAACTGCTTCAGGTTGGTGTCTTTATTTAAATGAAAATTATCATCTATTGCTTACACTTCCTATAAAAATAAAACAGTTATCTATGATAACAAGTTTGTAAAAAAAATGAGTGCAAACTCATTCTTTAAAAGCTAAGGTATAAAAAGAGTAAGAAACAAAATTGTTCTCTGCTTTAGACAGTAATAACATTTTAGCATCTTGCTACCCTGATCGTCATGCTGCCTTCTATTATCCAAGTTGCAAAATGCTGGTTAAGAAGCACAGAAATAATTTACATGGAGGTAGGGTCAAGATACATGAATACTTTGATTTTTTTCTTCAAGGCTTGCTAATCATAGAAACACTTTTGAGCCCCTGAAGGATGAAAAAAAAAAAAGGGGGGGGGGGCATGCAGCAGATTCCTCATTTTAGGCCGTTTGTTACATTAAAACCTTGAGCTTAAATCTACTCTACTTCAGATATGGTAACTTTACATCTGAAATTTTCTATGTGCTTGGAAGGGTTGGGTTGTCTACAGGAGAAAAAACAATAATACACTGCAGCGACAAATTATCTTGCAGAAAGGAAGCATACTTCTACCACTCATTGCAAAATATTTGATTGACAAAACAAGAGAATAAATGTAAACAACATCATCTAGAAGACTATACACAAATGAATATTGGTGACTATAGCTTTAAAATATTCCCAATATTTGAACTTTGACCTGTAGAAGAACCTCAGTATTTGTACAAACTTGT